CCAACACATGTAAAGGTGGTCCATGTTAATGGGTTAATTATACTTACCTCCCCCAAGTTTTTAAATAATTTTAAAATTGACCCACTAGTATTTTTATACATAAAATTTCTATAAATGAGTCTCACAAATATATCACTAACGGGGTCCACCTACCCAATGTATGCTCACATACATCATGGCTATGAAAGATTTAATTTAATTAACCCTTTAATAATTTCACATAATTNGGACAGTCAACCCTAGGTATATAATCTTCAACCCTAACCCTAATCCTAACCCTACCTCGGGTTGAGAGACTCAACCCGAGCACTGTCCGAGTTTAATTCGGGTGGGCTCGGGTTGAATTCGGGTTAATGATTTTGAGTTACTNGAGTTTAATTCGGGTGGGCTTGGGTTGAATTCGGGTTAATGATTTTGAGTTACTTTACAGGTTGAATTCGGGTTGAACTCACACTAGACTTGTTGTTTTAAACCTGATACATATATTACATAATATTCACCTAAATTAACAGCCAACAACTTCAATCAAATTTTTAACATAAAAACTCAAATATTAAGAACTCAATGTTTGAGATAATGCAACCACAATCATACAGAAAACAAATAAACACAATCAGAATCGTTGTACAAACATAGAGTTCACTGGTTAAATAGTGAGCGAGGGAGGCGCACAATAAAGACTTCAGAACAAATTAATCCTAGACTTAAAAATGTATTTATATGGTTGTGAATATTCGGGTTCAACCTGGTAACCCGATGGGTCAACCCGAGGCCCGTCCAAATTGAATTTGGGTTAAAATTTTTTGACCCAAGCCCAACCAAGTATTAAAAACCTTAGTCCAAATGCTAATTTTTTTGGGTTGAAATCTAGTTAATTCACCCAAATTGCACCCCTACATTCAACACGAGTAAGGTTGATAATCGAGCTGAGCTTCGAGCTCAGCTCGGATTCGGTTCATTTTCTAAATTAGTTAAGTTTGAATAATTTTTTAAACTTATTTAAAAAATGAGCTCAAAAAAAATTAGCTTGATTATCAACCCTAAACATGGGTTTGAAGAATTATGTTGATTTCTCTCTCTCTTTGTCTCTGTAATATGCAGGTGTTGGGAGACATTAATGGTGGTTTTGATGGCTTATTCTGCATGGGTGTATCCCTTCGAGGTTGCATTTCTGAGTTCTCGTCCAAATAAACGACTATACATTGCAGACAACATTATTGATATGTTTTTCACAGTTGATGTCGTCTTGACATTTTTTGTGGCATATATTCATTCAACAACTCTCTTAGTAATTCGTGACCCCAGAAAAATCGCCATAACGTCAGTGACTTATGAATTTTGCGGTCCCTTACCTCTAAATTTTATTATTTTAATGGGTATTTTAACAATTTTTATGGATCATTTTATAATAAAAAATTTATCACTTTTGTTAGTGGTTTATAATATTTGTGGGTGTTTTTATTACTGTTGTGAGCAAGTAACACAGAAGAATAGATTATTTATAACAATTATCACAACAGTGATAAAAACACCCATAAATATTATAAATAAATATCGATATGGTGCCAAAAAAAAATAATGTTCGATACTTTAAACAACTCTCTGAATTTATCGTTGACATAATGTTTTTAAGTTGTAGAAGTCTTAAAATTTAATCAATTAGTATTTGTTTTAATTATATCGTATGTAATTGGGATTCCTGTCTGCTTTTGGGGGATCCACCGATTTCACCAACTCAATAAACTTAATTCGAAAACAAAAGCCCGCTAGCTATGACTACTTATTCGCCTCTGGATCAGATTCATATACATCAAAACTAGCGGCGGCTGCAAAAAATTTATATCTCATTCTTTTTTGTTTTTTGTTTTTTCTCATATCTCTTACCCGCACTATGTAAGAAACTACAAAGTTAGACAAATAACTATGAAAACTTAAGGTGATAGAAAGAAATTTTTCAAACAAATTCAAATGAGGAGTTATTAGTTAGTGAAGAGATGGTTATGTTACATGTGATTAGAGTGAATGTATTAAAATATGTCAAAATTCTAACAATTCAGAAAATAAAGAGGGAAGAATTCTCATATTTCCTCACAAAAGAAAATAATTGTTTTATATACATAGATAGATAGAGAAATTCGATTTGAAAAATTCAATCCGTGAATTCGATAAAATTATTCACACTTCGTACTTGAATTTGTGAAAATTAAATATCTTGTCCTAGTTTCCGACCCAGACCAAATAACTTAATTATAGTTAATTTTAACAAATTATGCCTCAATTTAATACAAATTTTTTAATTATCACTAAACTCACATAATATATTCATATGTGTTTATATAAAATACGATCAAATTATGATCAGATCAAAAATTAATAAAATCAAATTCAGATATTGAAAACATCACATAATAGACTCAAATTTGAATAATCAAAAAAAAAATTTAATATACATATATTTAATCGGATTCAAATTCAAATTGAGTCCGGATTTAGATCATTCTCTAGAACCAATTACCCTATCTACTTGAAACTTATTTATCAATTTATAATAATTTTAAACTTATTCACCAAAATGCATCATTTTTTGAAAGGGGAGTTATTAAATGTTGTTGACAAATCAATATTTCTAATAGACCATGTTTTTGTTAAAAAGTGGAGTTGTTGACTCCGTTTAATGCCTTTTGCCCTCCTATAATGAGCATCACTAGGTCACTAGTTAACCATTGTGTTTGTGTGTGTTGTTTTTTTTTTTTTTTTTTTTTTTTTGGGGGGGGGGGGGAAGTGTTATAAAATCATGGATTTGATTAAGGTGGGGCTTTGTGAACTTGGTATAATCACAGGTACATATCAACATGGTTTGTAATGGATATAGCATCAACAATTCCATTGGAGACACTGGCATTCTTGTTTACTGCCAAACACCATGTGGGTGTCTTTTACTCCATCTTCAGATTGCTCAGATTGTGGCGTCTTCAAAGAGTGCTGCAATTTTTCACTAGGTTTGTGTTACCCACATTATCCCCAATTCTTCATCTGTCTCTCTCTCTCTCTCTCACACACACACACATCATGACTATATACATTGGTAGTCCACTTTTAATTTGGCAATGCTTACTTTCGTTCCTTGTATTGCAGGCTTGAAAAGGACATCAGATTTAACTATTTTTGGGTCAGATGTGCTAGGCTGTTGTTTGTAAGTAAAATTTGCAACTCAATTTTATTCTGAACTCATCCGTGAAATCATTTTTACTTCCAAAACCAGATTCAAATGCATAATTACTGTGCTAACAATTCTTTACAAAGATTAAAGTTCCGAGTTCGAATCCTCCCTTTGAGACACCCATGAATTTATCCTAGTAATTGCCTAACATTTGTGGGATGACATATATAGTGTGTTTGGGATGATTGATTGAGTGCTCTGGAAATCCAAATACTTCCTATTGTCATTGATTTTCCCTTTTGAACGATGCTACATGGACTTAAAATGCTTACTTGATTTGCTAATTTGATGAATCATTGTCATTGATTTAGATGTGGGTCCTAGTATTTTAAGTTTATGTAATTTTTTCCCTTTCTATTTAGTAGGAAAACAAATACTTCGTCATGAGTCCAGTGACATCACGCCACTATTGTTGTCACCATCCAATAACAAATCTAAAAATAAGTAAAATGAACCTCGCTTCTTTTTATTTGGTGGTTATGTTTTTTACATGGACATGGTATGGTGGTTACTAAATTAAATGGGGTCTACTTACTTACATGTTGATTTATTATTGGTTGGTGATATTATGTGACACTGATGACGTGATGCCACCATTAATTAACTGCAAAACTAATTTAAGAAAGATGAAGGCTATTCCAAATTGCTCACTCTTGTAGCTGTTGCTTCTTAGTCCTTTAGGACTTCAATAGGGTTGGAACTATTGTCACTGACTTAAATCACAAAGCAATAAAAAGTATTTTACCCTTAATTTTATTTGAAGTAACTTAATCACACAGGAATTAAAACAATTTTACCCTTCTTTTTTCTTTTCTCACCACATATAGCTTCCATAAAATGATCTATGGTCACCATTTTACCCTTTTTCCTTGGTCTTTTTTTTTAAGTTGGGGATCATATTACAATAAACTAGGAAAAATTATCATGAGTGTACATATATATTTAGGTGCCTTAAATTCAATAACAAGAAAATCAACTTTCTTATTTGACTATCTGGAAAAAATGGTGTGTTAGTTTAGCGGGATGATGATACAAAATGCAAGAAAGAGAAATGTTTTAATTTTTGCATGTGTTTGGTTAGCATGAAATGGAAAATAATGAAAAAAATAATTTTCTTTCATATTTAATTTTCTCACAACTAACTTACTTTTTTTTTCTTGCAAAAAACACAAGGAAATGTAAGAAAGTTGTGATGTAAAATTAACTTCTCATTTTACCCTAATTTTTTAAAAATATTTTATTGTTATTAATTTTAGAAAAGCATGGTATGGATTGAGTTAACCATATAATTTGACCTGAGATCAAAATTCGGGTTGATCCTTGTCCCAGAATTAGGTTAGGAGCCACTTTTTCTAAATTTTTTTTACTTATAATGCATTTTATCTCCTTTTTTAGACCAATTTAATATAATTAAACGTAATTTTGACCATTACAAAAAATTTCTTGTAACTTTCTTTTCTTTCAAATAATAGAATGAAAAAATATATTTTATTTCACTTTTACTTTCTATCATTTTCACTTTCTATAATTTTTTTCTTCCTGACCAAAATGAACAAGAGTTAAATTTGGGGTGCAGGTAACATTGTTTCTAGTGCATTTTGCTGGGTGCCTATACTACTTGCTAGCTGAACAATATCCAAATGAAGGACAGACATGGATAGGGACTAGGAATCCAAATTTCAGAGAGACAAGTGTATGGGATTTATATGTTTCAGCAATGTATTGGTCCATCACCACCATGACCACAGTTGGCTATGGCGATTTACATGCAGTCAACACTATGGAAATGATCTTCATAATTTTTTACATGCTCTTTAATCTTGGATTAACCTCTTACATCGTTGGTAACATGACAAATTTGGTGGTTAAAGGCACTCGTCGTACCATGGAATTTGTAAGCCTTTTTCAAATTTTTTTCTGCGGGGTTTTTGTTTTAATATTGTTTTGCACATTATACTGTTCGTTTTTAGCATTTGCATCTGTACTTTCTAAGTCGGTTTTAGTTTATCCTAACAGCTAACGTTTTTGTTATGTTTTGGACAAAAAATATCGTCCAAAAAATTACAAAATCCAGTCTTTTTAAGAACTGGAACTTATTTAGATATATGAGGAAATAATATAAAAAAATCGATATATATATATAAAGGTACCAAGTGAGATTAAAGTAGTAATTTAGGAATTTTTTTTTTGACTAGACTCAATCAATGGAGAGCTAGCATTAGAGAAAGCAATAGAGAATCAAAGCCTTCGCATTGAGAGCTAGGGGCAGGCAAAGTGGAAATCCTCTTTCTCTTGAATTTACAGAAAGCTAAAAGGCCCTTTTCAAGACAAAAGAGGCTTACGTATCTTCTTCCCTTATCAGAACGCTTTGACTGCCATAGTTACAAAGATTCCAAATTCGCAGGAATACATATAAATCATTTCTTTGTGGACAGAAATGAAAGATTACGACTCTTTCTTACTATGTGTTTGATCACCTTGAGTTGGATTTTTTTTGCTTTAGTATAGGTTACTTATTTGTAATGTAACAAACTGATTGATTTTTTGGAATTGTTTTGTGAAATTGTAGAGAAATAGCATTGAAGCTGCCTCAGATTTTGTGCGCCAAAATCGGTTGCCTCCAACTTTGAAAGACCAGATATTAGCTTATATGTGTTTGAGATTTAAGGCTGAGAACTTGAATCAGCAACAACTGATTGAACAGCTACCAAAATCTCTATGCACAAACATCCGCCAGCATTTGTTTTTGCCCACGGTTGAGAAGGTTTATCTCTTTAAGGGTGTCTCTATGGAAATTCTCTTGCTCCTGGTATGTACCATGCCTGCACTACTGCTGGTCAAGATGTTAGGGTAAATTAATCGAAACATCGTTAGTGATTTTTGTTTATATTTATACAAAAATGTTGTTGAAGTGGGAGAAAAAAAGAATGAATGAATTGCAATGTTGATTCATCATTGTATATAAAAAAGGATAGGATTGAATCCATGTCAATTACAAGGACAAAAGATAATAATTAAAACTGAAGTATAATTACTTTCCGACGCCTAAACCACCTTATAACAATGTATAGGTAAGCTGCATGTGTAGAGGAGCTTATGGAGGTCCTGGCTACGTGAATACATAAAATAAGCCATGTTCTGGCTGAAATTCAATACGCTAGCCCATACGTATAGCTTCATGTGAAAAACACGCAATTGCAGAGACCCTGGCATTCGAGTGCAACTGTGCAAGGCAGTTTCATCAAAGATCTGCATATTTTGAAGCATACATAAATCGTCAAGACTGACATCTCCATAGTGGCCAACAATGGTTTGATTGAAATCCCAAGTTATTGTCTTGTGAGAAAAACCCTTATTACCCAATGTGCGTGGTCTATTAGTGATCGCATGCATTCCATGTTTATGCTGTAGGACATATGATGCATGGTTGGAACGGTTCTTATTTATTACAAAGAAAGAAGTAAACACCTTTCTGAACTCCTCTGTACAATCCTATTTATCAGGTTGCAGACATGAAGGCTGAGTATATACCACCTAGAGAGGATGTAATACTGCAAAATGAAGCACCCGATGATATTTACATCATTGTATCAGGAGAATTGGAGATGATTGAAGGAGAAATGGGGAAAGAGAGAGTCATTTGGAGTTTAAAATCTGGGGACATGTTTGGAGAAGTTGGTGCCCTGTGTTCTAGGCCACAGAGTTTTACATATCAAACCAAGACGATTTCCCAATTGTTGAGGCTGAAAACCAGTGCTCTACTAGAAGCAATGCAGACCAGATCAGAAGACAATGTTGCCATGATAAAGAATTTCCTTCATTTAAGTTACAGACTTCATTTCTTCCACTAATATTGAAAAACTTCAATTTTGGGGGAAATCTTGTTCATGTAAAGAGTTTTCTCTCTCTTTTTTTGGTGGATATAGTCGGGGAGATTTTGACCACAAAGAAATGCATACCAAAAGTCCTACAACTGACATGAAGTTTCTTAAAACAGACAAAAAAAAAAAAGGTTAAAGTCAACATCTTGTTGAACCCATCGCCTATAGGGTACCAAAGACCCTGCCTACGAATCTCATTGCCTCTGCAGTAATGCATTATTCATTCCTATACATTGATTTAGTGATAAGTGGGCACATGCAACACTGATGTTAACTTTGTTATTACAGCGTTCTCTAATAACTTAACTTAGTTTCAAAAGCCGTAAAACATAGATTTCCATCATATTGTACACCAGGAATTGCAAGACTATGATTAAATTGAATACCTTTGCCAGTGTCCATGAATGCATATACAAATACATGGAAATTCTCAAATCGGCCCTACTTCTAGCATGATGCTTTATAAATAGTTCGTTTTGTCATCTAAAAGCCTCATGCTAGTTCCAAATGTCACTAGAAACTCTAACTAGCTTTAAACTAATTTACGGAAGGTTTTTGTTTTTGAAGCACCACAAAAGGTTCAAGGATTTGCATATTGGGGATATATTTCTTGAGTGTGGGTATGAAGCTGATGACCCAAACATGTCTATCAACTTGCTTACTGTTGCCAGTACAGGCAATGCTGCTTTTCTTGATGAGCTTCTAAAGGCAAAGTTGGACCCTGACATTGGAGACTCCAAAGGAAGGACCCCATTGGTATGTTCCTATATGACCCACCCAAATTTCATCTTGTAAACCTGATTTGAGGGTTCTACTCATGGTTTACATGGAAGGAAGAGAAGGTACCGATATGGATACGTCTTGGCCAAGTCATATCGGTGTTGGTCAATACTATGAACCATGTTGTACAAGCAGTGGTCAGGTTTTAGTGATCACCACATTCATTGTCCATCAATGCTTTAACTGATTGATTCAAGCATCTATGATTCCATTCACGAAAATCAAAATGCTGGTTGTTAATTGTTTCTGTGGTGGTAACTAGTTCTGGTGTGAAACTATAGTAGTTGCCATTGTCATCATAATGCTTTTCTTTCTGGCTTTTCCCATGTGATGCATCAGCACATTGCAGCATCAAAAGGGCATGAAGAATGTGTGTCAGTGCTCCTCAAGCATGCCTGTAACATTCACCTGCAAGGTGAAGTATCATCCTTGTGATTTCTTTTCCTATCTCATTTTTTTGGGTTTTTTGCACCCAAAGGGCAGTTGGGAGACGGAATCAATAACTGTCTGAATTTCTTCAATAAATGTGCAATCATTCCATTAAATTATCATCTTATCACCAAGATCATATCATGTGCAGCAGATGTAGATGGTAATACTGCCATGTGGGATGCTATAGCAGCAAAGTACCACTCCATATTTCGGATGTTGTATCATTATGCTTCTATCTCTGATCCCTACACTGCCGGTGACCTTTTATGTACAGCTGCAAAGAGAAATGATTTGAAGGTGATGAAGGAACTCCTGAAACACGGAGTACACGTTCACATGAAGGATCATCAAGGGTTAACGGCTATCCAAGTCGCAATGGCATAAAACCACATAGACATGGTTAAGCTTCTTGTGATCAATGGAGCCGATGTAAATTACACAACTGATGGCAAACTTCCTTCAGTAAACTTGGATGAAATGCTACAAAAACGAGAGGTCGGACACTGGATAACAATGCCTGATACCACACTGGATCAAGTGGCTTTTAGGAGGCACAAAGAAGAGCAGGAGTACTGCAATGTGGGAAGATCAAAGAGACCATGTTCTTCAAGGGTTAGCATATATAGAGGCCACCCTTTGGTCAGGAGAGAAACTTGTTACACAGAAGCTGGGAGGCTGATTAGGTTACCAAATTCACCAGTGGAGCTCAAGAGCATTGCAGGTACAGTTTAACATAGCCTTTGTGTGGTTCAGTTTGCATTTTTCGATTCTTTTTTTTCCCCATTTTATGTAATTGTTTTCTTATATTACGGGTGTCAAAATATGACACAATCCGTTAACACGATACAAAATTAAAGGGTTTAGATTTTTCTTAAGCCACTTGTTTAGTAAATAAGTGGACCTGACACGATTAATAAACAAATCTAATCAGAAAAAATAAACGATACGATTTTTTTATATACCGGTTATATACGATTTACATACGACACAAACTCGATATGACATGATTCGTTAGACACGAATTAATAAACAAATAGGATATGGGTGAAATATTTTTTGATACAAAGTCAATAAAATTCGATACGAATCTACCCACCCAACGCGATTAACAGCCTATAAGAGTGGAGAAGCAAAGCGCGAATCATCTTTACAACAGTATAACTTACGTCTCAGTCTACTATTGTTTGAACTCACCCCTTTCATTGTAAAAGAGTGTTTTTGAAACACGCTTTCAAGAATTTACATTAAAAACGTGTTTTGCAACCATATTTTTACACTGAAAAGCATGCATTCAACTCACGTTTTACATTTACATACACCTAACGTTTGGCACATAGAATATAAACTAATGTAGGAATAAGATAGTATTGGAAAAAAGACGATAAAATGGTATTTGTTTCAGGAAAACTTCATGTTTCCAATGAAGTCGTTCTCCCATGGAAAATTAGTGCCGTTGTTGAAGATATAAGAATTTATGCTAGGTTATACAACCTTAGCTTCCTACACAAGCCTAGAGCCTAGAGCCTACGCAAAGGTTGTTCATTGGGTTGCAGCCTCTTTGCTAAGTAATTCGCTCCCCCCGAATTGGTTAGGTTTTCCCCCGAGTTTAAGGTTTTACTTTTCTCTAATTGTAACCTAAATTTTCCTACTTAATAAAAGTTCTACATTGCTTGGTTTTGATCAAAAAAAAAANTCAAAGAGACCATGTTCTTCAAGGGTTAGCATATATAGAGGCCACCCTTTGGTCAGGAGAGAAACTTGTTACACAGAAGCTGGGAGGCTGATTAGGTTACCAAATTCACCAGTGGAGCTCAAGAGCATTGCAGGTACAGTTTAACATAGCCTTTGTGTGGTTCAGTTTGCATTTTTCGATTCTTTTTTTTCCCCATTTTATGTAATTGTTTTCTTATATTACGGGTGTCAAAATATGACACAATCCGTTAACACGATACAAAATTAAAGGGTTTAGATTTTTCTTAAGCCACTTGTTTAGTAAATAAGTGGACCTGACACGATTAATAAACAAATCTAATCAGAAAAAATAAACGATACGATTTTTTTATATACCGGTTATATACGATTTACATACGACACAAACTCGATATGACATGATTCGTTAGACACGAATTAATAAACAAATAGGATATGGGTGAAATATTTTTTGATACAAAGTCAATAAAATTCGATACGAATCTACCCACCCAACGCGATTAACAGCCTATAAGAGTGGAGAAGCAAAGCGCGAATCATCTTTACAACAGTATAACTTACGTCTCAGTCTACTATTGTTTGAACTCACCCCTTTCATTGTAAAAGAGTGTTTTTGAAACACGCTTTCAAGAATTTACATTAAAAACGTGTTTTGCAACCATATTTTTACACTGAAAAGCATGCATTCAACTCACGTTTTACATTTACATACACCTAACGTTTGGCACATAGAATATAAACTAATGTAGGAATAAGATAGTATTGGAAAAAAGACGATAAAATGGTATTTGTTTCAGGAAAACTTCATGTTTCCAATGAAGTCGTTCTCCCATGGAAAATTAGTGCCGTTGTTGAAGATATAAGAATTTATGCTAGGTTATACAACCTTAGCTTCCTACACAAGCCTAGAGCCTACACAAAGGCTGTTCATTGAGTTGCAGCCTCTTTGCTAAGTAATTCGCTCCCCCCGAATTGGTTAGGTTTTCCCCCGAGTTTAAGGTTTTACTTTTCTCTAATTGTAACCTAAATTTTCCTACTTAATAAAAGTTCTACATTGCTTGGTTTTGATCAAAAAAAAAACAATAACAACAACGTGATGTGACCAAAATCAGCTGCCTCAACAAATGCCACGCNCTAAAAAAAAACTATTTTATACAGATATCTAGTAGGAAAGAAAATACATAGGGATTTTCCAGCATACCCGAGAAAAAAAAAAACAAAAGAAAAGAAAAAAGGGACTTTATTTTCATTTTTATCCGTGAGAAGGTTTCTCAACTACATGTTCACATCTTATGCATTTTCATGAGATTCTTCTCGAGTTTTCCTTACAGATGGTTACTTGCTTCTGTTCAGGCTCTCTCTTTATTTCTTTCCTACTTGCAAGAGGGGCATTGTTCTTTTCCTCAACCCAGCTTTGAGTACAAAGACTCTGTACCCCAACAACAAAAAAGAAAGGTAACAGTAAACCGAAAGAAAATTACCTACCCAAAGTCGCCTTCAATGGATCAAACAATACTACAAGATCCAGGACTCAGTATAAGCTTTACAAGCTCCCCAAAATTACCAAAGATGCGATGCAAGGTTCAGTCAATCTAGAATCCTTTATGCACACTGTGTAATCGCCAACGTATCTACAATCACAGCGTCTGACATCATGGCCGGAGCAACATGGCCAGTCTTCACACTTTATCATCAATGCCATAAGTATAGTGTGATGGCACACTCATTTTCTAAAGGTTGGCCAGCTGCAGAGACTGTCGAGAACTTCATAAAAAAGCCAGACATACATCAGAACAGGCTGCAAGACAACGTTCCTAAAAGAGTTGCCTCTCCGAACAAATTACACATCAAATCCTGGCATTGCAAACTGAGAAGCAAAACTTTCAACTTGGTTCCGGAGCTCAATAATATCTTTATTGTTCTGAAGACCATTTAGGAAAGCCTTTGGCAATTTCCCATGTTCTCTCTGCACTGAACTTGCGATCTGCGCAGCTCTAAGGAGAAAGTCGGTCACTGTTTCAAAATCGGCCTCAAGGCAACCTCTTGATGTCATAGCCGGAGTTCCTAGAGGAATAAAAACATGAAAGCAACATAAAAGCACCAAGTGTTGGATACAACTCATTAAAGTTAATGAAAACAGCGTATGCAATAAGATCTTCACTTACCAATCCTTATGCCTCCAGGCCTAAAAGTTCCATTCTCATCAAAAATAGCAGCTTTCTTGAGTGTAATGTGACACAGTTCACAGATCTTCTCAAAATTCTTACCTATAGCATAAAAAAATAGAGAAATCAACCTGATCGAATAATAAACATAGATAGAAGAGGGATATCGATCAGTAGTCAGATGAATGGGTGGGAAAGGAAGAGAAATAAGAGGGGGGGATGGGATGATAATAGGTGTTAACAAATGGTACAGGCATCACCAACTCAGTGAATAAAAAAGAAAATACAAATGTGTACGCATACAACTGTACATATAATCAAGTAAGGTGCTGTTTTCCTACTTACTAAACCTCTATCCAGGTAGTACCAAGGAACTTACCACTCCGTGGACAAGAGAATGCTTACATAATGACAATGAGTTGGTGAAATTCCCCAATCCACGATAAGAAAACCATCTCATTGTCCATAACATTCAACGGATATCCTTTAATTGAGTCTTATCAAACAAAACAGATCCTACCAAATAATAGATGTATCATCTAGCAGGCAAGATACCATTTTTCAGCCATATTTGCATGAGATATGACCAATCAAATTGATTTCAAATGCTGAGAGAAAAAAGTTCACTCAATTCAATGTTTTTACGAAACAGGATAGACTAGTTTCACATTCATACGACAGCAACAGATCCCTATTACTTAGTATTACGGATGAACACAGAAGTAAAAAAATTTTTGGTAGGTAAATCATCAACTACAATTGTAATCTTCTACCAAGTAGCCTTAGGAAATTGATCAAGCACCTAAAGCCTCTATTCCCCAGCATGCAAATCATTGCCAAAACACCCTTTAGGCCTATCTCCGCCCCCAAGAATGGAAAGAAAGCAGTCACTAAAATCAAAGTCTATGTGACTTTTTTTTTTTTTTTGGATCAGCACAGTCTATGTGACCCATTGCTTGAACTAAATTAAATTTCCACAGCAAACTGGTCAAGAAAACTATATTGAGAGCTCCTAGAACCAGTTAAAGAGCCTTTGGTGCAATAGCAAAGGGCCACTAAATCAATATCACACGTGCTTATTAAACAAATTTTTTAACATCAGATGAGTAAGTACATGAGGGATACATATTATAACATCCAGAAATAGCCAAACCATGACAACCAAAAAGCACGCAAAAAACTTAAATTTACAGCAAAAAATGCACATATTTGCTAGATTAGCTTCCCTTCTTAAGCTCAAGTAATATTTGCAAACAATGGAGTCTGATGTGTGGAGCAAATTGTGAAAGTGTGGACCATCACCGTTCTACAGCGCTAGCCTAATGGAATAAATTATGAGTTGGGAGGGCTTTGTTGAAAAAGTGTGCTTTCAAGTGGTCACAGGAAACAAAAACCAATTAACTGCAGCCCAACATATTCAAACAGTGCATGATCTGAATCAGTATGATGTACAAGCTCTTTGATTACAAAAATATTAAAGGAGGCAATACAGACTATTAAAGGGGGAGAGGGGAAAAGAAAAAGAAAATATGTACCTGTTAATCCTAGAGTTCTTAGATCCCAAAGTAACAAATGATTGTCAGTACCTCCCGTCACCAGTCTGCAATTCCTCCTCAATAAAGCAGATGCTAAAGCCTGCGCATTTTTCTTCACCTGTTGTATATATGCCCTGTACTCAGGAGAAGCCACTTGTTTCAAGGTTATGGCAAAGGCAGCAATGTGATTATTGTACGGTCCACCTTGCAGTGCTGGAAAAACAGCAAAGTCCATCTTCTCCTCAAGGTCATATCTAACACTCGCATCACCTTGATTCAAAGGCATCCCTCTCTTTCTTAGCTTTGAACCTCTCCTGAAAAAAATGATACCCCCCCTTGGACCTTGAAGACTTTTGTGAGTTGTTGAGGTAACAATGTCACAGAATTCAAAGGGGTTAGCACACTCCTGTAGAAATGTCCAATATGCACATCATTAGGGGACTCCCTTACCAAACATACACAATTAGGAAAAAATATTAAAAAATTTTGAAGCGCAAGAATAATAATAAGTCCATAGAAAACGAAAAGAAATGATGAAAAAGAAAAATCAAGGCAAGAACCCAAGATTCCTGGTAGAAAATGAGTATAAAGACAACCTTCTGATTTGAAAAACAATAACTAAAATGTTCAAAAATGTACTCAACAGCAAATATGAATGGTTAATCATGTACAGCATTGATTCCCCACAAAATAAATGTTCAAATAGCACAAGAGTATTGCTGCTTAATACAAGCAGACTTGTGAGACACTAGATGTAAAAAATATTTGTACTTGAAAAGAGATGAGCTTAATAGTGAATTGTTATTACTTCTTAATAGTATAAAGAGAGATCAGAAGTATCCCTTTTGTACATGACTTGCGCAGAAATTTCTAATGCACCCAATTGTAAACGCAATAAGTTTTAATGCTTCAATTTTATCTAACAAAAATACTATGTTCACTCCATAAGATTTTCATATGCCAAACTAAAGGGGGGATTCCTCACTCATTCTTGGGTAGAAAGCCGGTAGCAACCTTTCAGATCAGACCCTGCCATTGGAGAAATAGTGTTTTACTTTTACTCAAATGCATATTCCAGCCATGAATTTCCAGTATTTTCTAAAATACAATGCCCCACCGATTTCAATATAAACTAGCACACATAACATATTTAGTAACTTAAAAAAAAAAATCAGTACCGAATCAGTCCACGTGTCACAAAAGGAGGGATGCTAATGCAAAACTCCTATCCTATCCCATGCCTGCTTAAAAACTAATCTGCACTGATATAAAAATATATGAAGTAAAAAAATGTGAAAACCCAACCAACTTGCCCATATGTTGGGTGGCCATTTCAACAAGAGCGTGTTTAGGATAACTACAATCAAATTAAATATGTCCTCATTGAGTTTGGGTATTTAAAATAGACCCCGAGACCCAACAACCCATCTCCAAGTTAATTGAGTTTAACAATCCTTTCTATAGACCCATACACTGCATAAATTTTTCATAAAAAAATCAAATGCCCATTCCATATATCTAAGGGTGAGTTACACCATGGTTGGGGAGTAGAGCTGAGCCAAGTCAAACAACAGAGTGTTCAGGATTGGCCAGGTTGTATCAAAGAAGAGTTTGACTTGAACATGCTTGGTAAACTTGATTTGCAGTCACCAACTATTTGGGTATTGTAGTTAAGTCACTTATACAGATCGTCTGGATAGCAGCCAAAGAACAAATGACGCCTTTTATTGTGGCTAATAGGAGCAAAGAGAATGTAAGGTGATGAAGCCCCATTGACAACCCTCAAACGCTTAAATTGCTAGAACCTTTGGGAGTAGAACTATCAATCTCAAGCAATCCTATGAGGATGCATTTGCACAAACATTTTTCACAAATCCTCATATATGAAAAAAGACAAACATGTTCTGGCACTTTTGAATTGGTCCTACCAGCAAATATTTATGCTGTGTTCTAGCGTATGTCAACTTACTTGAACCTTTAATTAGTAGTGCTTCTGAAGTCTCCTAAGTTGAGGCAAATTCAAAACACCTGAGAGTTAAATTGTTGACATGCCAAAAATTTCTCAAAGTATTCCTCTAAACTCCCAAAAAGAAAAAGGAAAAGACTTGAATGAAACAATTAAACAACAGTCCACGCATATTGTATTACCAAAACTAATGCAGTTGCACAGCCAAAATCAATTAAAACCTAGGATATTTCTCACTCACCAAAAAACCTAGGATATTACTGATAACTTTCACTGATTTGCAGCACCCAAGAAAACTAGCCCCTAATTCAAGGGGAGTCCCCAACACAATTCATCCCTCATTACCAAACTAGCAAGTCAAAAGAGCAAGCAAGTACATAGCATCATAACAAAAACCACTAATGCATTAACCGGCAAAAATTAGCACTTACATGAACAAAACTTTTCAAGCTAACCAGCAACCGATAATATTCAACCTAAACATCAATCGAAAAAGTATTAGTAGCAGAAAGATTTTCACCTTGGCGGCAACAAGACCACTAATTTGAGCCATGTCACACATTAACACTGAACCACACTTATCTGCAATCTGCCTAAACCTCGCATAATCCCACTCCCGGGGATACGAACTACCACCACAAATAAGTATCTTGGGACGAAAATCAAGTGCCCACTCCTCAAGTTTATCATAGTCTATATACCCAGTTTGCGGATTCATTTTATAAGGCAAACTCTCAAAGAAAATCGAAGCACCCGAAACTCGCCTCCCATTTGGAGTATAATACCCATGACTAGTATTTCCACCACAAGGCGCATCCAATCCCATTATCCTATCTCCGGGCAACAACAAAGCCGTGTAAACGGCGAAATTTGCAGATGTACCCGAATATGGCTGCACGTTCACACCCCAATTCTGCGAATGAAGATCGAAAGCGGACATAGCACGCTCGCAACAAAGCGTTTCAATCTCATCAATGAATTGATTGCCACCATAATACCTTGCACCGGGCATTCCCTCAGAATACTTATTCGTCAAATGGCTTCCTAAAGCTTCCATTACCGCCTTACACACGAAATTCTCCGAAACTATTAACTCAATCCCTTTGTACTGCCTCTGCTTCTCCTTCTCCATTATCTCAAACAAATCCAAATCGGCCACTTGGAGCGATTGATTCCCCCAAAGCCTAACTGCATGTCGTCGAGCTTCGAGGCCTGCATCGATCGATAGTCTGTCTAGTTTGGTAGATGAAGACAAGGAACAAGATGAATCGCAGTCTCTTCTTCGTCGTTTTAACCACATTGGATGGCCCAAAATTCGGAACTCCTCTTCTTTCTCTTCATCCCCACCTCCTCTTTCCTCATTTTCTCTCTCTCCATAGTGATTATCACTTTGTTGTTCCATCAATTGGCGTGGAATTGATGGGTCTGGGTCTTCATAATTGCGATCGCCAGAATCAATTTGGAAACAGATAGAATCATCGGCCAATTGGGAGTGGTTGATGCATCAGAAAGAAAACCTAAGAGAGAGGTCCAATTGGTTGGAATTGCAATTGCAACCCAAGCCCAATCCTAGGAGAGAGAAAGCTGGACTTTCAAGGCTATGAACAATGGCAGCAACAGAAACAGCGGCAACAGCGTCTGAAGCATTTACAGTAACAGTATCTGTGCGTAGACCCTCGTGAAGTTGAATATGAAACCGATGCTTCCATGACACTACGAGACCTCTAAAAGTCCAAAACCCTAAATCTGATCAACTCAAGCTCTGGATACATACATATATGAGTAGTGATGAAGAGAGAGAGAGAGAGAGAGAGAGAGAGAGAGAGATTGGTGCTTGACGAAGACGGTGCCGTTCGAATGGGGATGCACCTGGACCAGGTTGATCTAAGCTGATTCCAGTGGCCGGCCGTTACTTTCAAGCAGGTAATGTTAAACAATAATAATAATTTATTAATTTCAAGATAATAAGCATATTTATTTAATTGATGTTACAAAGAAGACATGTTTCATAAANTCATTTTATAAGGCAAACTCTCAAAGAAAATCGAAGCACCCGAAACTCGCCTCCCATTTGGAGTATAATACCCATGACTAGTATTTCCACCACAAGGCGCATCCAATCCCATTATCCTATCTCCGGGCAACAACAAAGCCGTGTAAACGGCGAAATTTGCAGATGTACCCGAATATGGCTGCACGTTCACACCCCAATTCTGCGAATGAAGATCGAAAGCGGACAGAGCACGCTCGCAACAAAGCGTTTCAATCTCATCAATGAATTGATTGCCACCATAATACCTTGCACCGGGCATTCCCTCAGAATACTTATTCGTCAAATGGCTTCCTAAAGCTTCCATTACCGCCTTACACACGAAATTCTCCGAAACTATTAACTCAATCCCTTTGTACTGCGTCTGCTTCTCCTTCTCCATTATCTCAAACAAATCCAAATCGGCCACTTGGAGCGATTGATTCCCCCAAAGCCTAACTGCATGTAGTCGAGCTTCGAGGCCTGCATCGATCGATAGTCTGTCTAGTTTGGTAGATGAAGACAAGGAACAAGATGAATCGCAGTCTCTTCTTCGTCGTTTTAACCACATTGGATGGCCCAAAATTCGGAACTCCTCTTCTTTCTCTTCATCCCCACCTCCTCTTTCCTCATTTTCTCTCTCTCCATAGTGATTATCACTTTGTTGTTCCATCAATTGGCGTGGAATTGAAGGGTCTGGGTCTTCATAATTGCGATCACCAGAATCAATTTGGAAACAGATAGAATCATCGGCCAATTGGGAGTGGTTGATGCATCAGAAAGAAAACCTAAGAGAGAGGTCCAATTGGTTGGAATTGCAATTGCAACCCAAGCCCAATCCTAGGAGAGAGAAAGCTGGACTTTCAAGGCTATGAACAATGGCAGCAACAGAAACAGCGGCAACAGCGTCTGAAGCATTTACAGTAACAGTATCTGTGCGTAGACCCTCGTGAAGTTGAATATGAAACCGATGCTTCCATGACACTACGAGACCTCTAAAAGTCCAAAACCCTAAATCTGATCAACTCAAGCTCTGGATACATACATATATGAGTAGTGATGAAGAGAGAGAGAGAGAGATTTGTAGCTTAACGAAGACGGTGCCGTTCGAATGGAGATGCACCTGGACCAGGTTGATCTAAGCTGATTCCAGTGGCCGGCCGTTACTTTCAANGTTCGAATGGGGATGCACCTGGACCAGGTTGATCTAAGCTGATTCCAGTGGCCGGCCGTTACTTTCAAGCAGGTAATGTTAAACAATAATAATAATTTATTAATTTCAAGATAATAAGCATATTTATTTAATTGATGTTACAAAGAAGACATGTTTCATAAATAGTTTTATGGTTTTTTATTTTTTTTCTATTATATTACAGGAATTATTATAGAATCAAAAAAATTTTATTCAATTTTTCCATAATAAAAATCAAGTAAATTTTTTATTTTAAAAAATTTAATATTTTGTGAATTTATTTTGCAGAAAATAACAACCTTGTCCCATAATTTTTGNGTTACAAAGAAGACATGTTTCATAAACAATTTTATGGTTTTTTATTTTTTTTCTATTATATTACAGGAATTATTATAGAATCAAAAATTTTTATTCAATATTACCATAATAAAAATCAAGTAAATTTTTTATTTTAAAAATTTTAATATTTTGTGAATTTATTTTGCAGAAAATAACAACCTTGTCCCATAATTTTTGGTTGGCAAATTATATAAAAATTAGTCAAATATGATATGAAAATAATATAACTTAAAATTATTCGACATGAATGTAATATAAACTCAAAATAAAATGACACAATAAAATTGACACATCTTAAATGCATGGTAAGATCTTTTTTTTTTTCTTTCTCATAAGTAATGCATGGTAAGACTTTGATAAGTCATATTTAGTGCCTAACTTTGCATGTCGCAATTTGATGGCCAAACTGAAGGGTCCAACTCATCTTATGAGCCCANGCAATTTGATGGCCAAACTCAAGTGTCCAACTCATCTTATGAGCCCCGTCCGAATTAATAGTTCAATTTCAGGAGGTGCAGCAAGTCAAGTTCAAAGTGCTCCACGCCCGGTTAAGATCATCAGGTTCAAGGAACTACGTCAGCAGGAGAACATGCAAGGTCATTCAACAGTCTCATTCTCGCCGCCTTGAAGACAGTCAACCCTCACCTCATCCTTTAACCGAATCTTATAGAGAGTTTCGTAACTGTCTCGCCCGTTGAGAAGAGGTCCACAGATCCAACAGACTAGCCAACTAGTTACTAATATCTCGCCCAAATTTGTTACGAGGTTGACTATAAATTGTAAGTCCTACCAACACTTGGGGGCATCACACATTTAGTCGAGTACTACTTTCCTCTCCCTCTCAAACTTGTAACTCTCTATTCTCCCTACACCCTTGAGTTAATAAAATATCCGACGACCCTAGCCATTTAGAAGTGGACATAGGTCACGATTAATCAAACCACTAAAAATTCTTGTTTTCTTTCTCTTTGTCTAATCACTATAAATCCTTATTTTCTCTCTTTCTCTACTTATTTACTGCATTTATTACTAATTACTTGACAGCTGGTGTGCAAAGTCAATTTGTGTATCATCACAATTGAATACCAACTTTATACAAAATGGATTTGAAAGTTTTAATACAAACTTAGTCTTTAGGGTTTTTGGACTATAACCCTTATTGGAACCACANCAAAGGGGTGAGTCATTAGTGACGGTTTGGAACATTGTGGAGGGAAATATTTTCTTCCTTCCTTCAATTCAAACAAACACTTCCCTCTTCAATCTATCCTATAACCCTTATTTGTAATCAAGTCTTTGAGTTATTTGGAATTGAATAGAAGACCCAAGAACTCTAGGTTCTTCACAAATGGAGGTTTCGGCAAATTCGGAGGTGTGGGTCGCATCGAAGGTAAGTCTTTTTTCTTTGATTTAACATGATTTTAAGCTTCTAAGTTCTAAGGAATTGTTAATTTGATGTTTGGATAGTGTTAGGAATGAAGGAAAATAGTTATAGGAGGAATTAGAACCAAGAAGAAGACTTTCAANGATGTAAGGTCTCATGGCAAGGTTCTTGTAAAGGGTCCCAAGATAAGGTTCTCACGACAGAGATTCCGTGGTATGTCCCTATGGTTGGGTTTCCGCTACCAAGGTGTTTCTTATACCTAACCCTTGACCATTCTACTTTAGGTATTGAAATGTATGTCTTGAAAGCCGCAAGTTGTATTTATGGTGTGTTCCACTNGGTGCAAGAAAGAACCGGTACAAACAATGTGGCATGGGTACAAAGGCCTACTGCCTTGGGATAAAACTATTGTACCGGCACCACCCAGTTAAAATGTTGTTTTTGCTGTGATGTTCCAGTATTTTATCCGGCCATTCTCAAANGGTGTGTTCCACTACGTAATTAATACTTGAGGCACTTGTCACATATATATTGGCTTGCACCACATGCATTGCATGCCTAGGGCCACACATGTAAATACCCTTATACTAGTGGCAAACTGTGTAACACACATGCAATGACATTTTTTGATATCCACACACCTATTCTTCAATGAGATTTATTGNAAGAAAGAACCGGTACAAACAATGTGGCATGGGTACGAAGGCCTACTGCCTTGGGATAAAACTATTGTACCGGCACCACACAGTTAAAATGTTGTTTTTGCTGTGATGTTCCAGTATTTTATCCGGCCATTCTCAAAACTTCCTTGATTATTCACTTGAGTTCAAAACAACTCCCTTTAGACATATTTGTCTACATCTAGATGATTTATGCATTAACCACAAATGTAGCTCGAGTAANATAATTAAAAAATGATCAACATATTTGTATTCATACTCAAAATCAAATCACAAATATGGAGAAGAGATAAAGAAATTTAAGCACCAATTGTAGTAGGGGTGAGCAGTGGTGGTGGGGGACAGTGGTGATGGTGGGAAACGGTGATGGTTGTGATGGGTAAGGCGACGACTGTGGTGGTAGTAGTAGCCGTGGGTGGCAATGGTGATGATGGTGGTGGGTTTTGAGTGACGATGATGATAGTGATAGTTGTTGGTGGCAACGATGGTGGTAGTAGGTGTGGGTGGTGGTGGACGACGGTGATGGTGGTTATTAGTAGTGGTGGTGGGCGATTACGATAGTGGTGGTTGGCGACGATGGGTGCTTCTAAGCGATAATGTGATGGGTGGTGGCGAATGACGGCGGTTGTAAGTGTGGTGGGGGTAAGTGACAGTGGCTGGCTTTAGTGGTGGGCAATGACAAGGGATGGTGGTAGGATAGGTGACAATGGTTGGTGGGCGTCGATGGGTGGTGGTGGGTGCTGACGGTGGGTGACGGTGGTAATGATAATGGTAATAAATATAAGAATAAGAAAAAAATGGTGGTCATGGACAACGATGATAGCAATCGGTGGATGATGGTGGCTGCGGTAGTGGTTTGGCGATGGTGATGGTAGTTGTGATGATCATGAGGGTGGTGGTGGGGCGATGAGAGTGGTAAGGGTGATGGTAGGACAATAACAGTAGTGGTAAGGTGCGACAGCGATGGTGATGATTGTAGGATGCAACAACAGTGATGGTGGGGTGGTGGAGGTGTGACGGTGGTTGTAATGGTAGTGATGATGGTAGGGTGGTGGTGGCAGTGATGGGCGGTGGTGATGGGGCAATGGAAGTGGTGATGGTGATGGTGGTAAGATGATGGCAACAGCAATGGTGGGTATGGTAGGGTGGCGGTGGCGGGTGGTGGTGGGGTGATGGAGATGGTGGTGGTAAAGGTAGTGGTGAGACGATTTCAAACACTATTTTTTTTAAAGTACTTACGATAAGTAATTTTAAAAAGTCACTTTAAACACACACTTAGTGGTCTATTTTTCCTATTAAATTTGGGGTGTTAATATTAATCATTAGATTAATTTTAAAGTAAAATTTAAAGCAATCTCAACCGTGAAATCGTAAACAATAAACATATTTGTATTTATATCCAAAATAAAATCACAAATATAGAGAAGAGATAAAAAAATTTAAGCATTGATTTGTGGTGAGGGTGAGAGGTAGTGGGCGGCAGTGCTGGTGGTAATAGACGGTGATGGTTGTGGTGGGTGACAATGACCGTGATGGAGGCGGCGATGGTGGTGGCAATGGCGGTGGTGGTGGGATGGTTTCAAATACTATTTTTTTTTAAAAGTATTTATGAGATGTAATTTCTAGAAATACTTTTAAAAAATCATTCTAAACACACCCTTAGAGATCTATTTTTTCTATTAAATTTAAGATATTAATATTAGCCGTTAGATTAACTTTAAAGTAAAATTTAAAGCAATCTCAACCGCGAATAACAAAAATTATTTTATTTATTTTTTGAAATTTAAATTGTAAACTATTTTATTATATAAATAGTTGGCATAGTTAAGAAACTAAATATTACTTGATTGGTTCTTATGGAACCTTAACACCCTATAGTTTGGGTTTGGTATCATCATAGTGTAGTTATGCTCATCTTCTAACACTCCCTCTCTGCCCACCCCTTTTGTTGGATAAGAATGTTGGACAATTAGTTATATAATGATAAAAATAAGAAGAATGCTGCACGAACCTAATTTAATTAAGTCATTGTGTGGCATATTGCTTACTCATTTAGAGTGGACCCCACTTCTTAAGCATAATAAACTCATTAATCTGTGTATAATTATAATTTAAGACATAACTAATATCATCATATCATGCCTCTATAGATTGATTGTTTCTATAAAGAAGTGGTATTTAGGCTGGACAGGTATGCTAAATTATATGTGGATGAGAATGTGTGTGTTACATGGAGTGTTAGAATCTCTTGGTTTTTCTATAAGACTTACAAGTTTTGGGAAACACATTGAGGTTTCGTACGGTTTTTGTTCTCAAACGGATAGGGAGTATGAGTGTATCATTAAAATGCTAGAGGATATGTTAAGATCTTGTATAATGGAGTTTAAAGGTAGTTGGGATGACTATCTACCGTTGATACAGTTTCCATATAATGAATAATAATTCAGTGGAACGATTGAAAATTTCTCAAAGTCGGCAAAAAAATTATGTGGATAACCAAATGAAAGATTTGGAATTTACAGTT